GTACATAGACTAGAACTACAGAGACAAGCAACTCGGCCGAGCAAAGAACCTGCTTTATTCGTACGAGGTATCTTTGGGAGGGACGGAGGCCGCCGGCAGACGGCAGCGGGAGGTCAAGGGTGGCAGTTGGGGCACCGCCGGCGGCGGTGGAAGGAGGCAAAGAAGAGCAGAGCAAAGGGACCCTGGCTCAGCCGCTCATGGAGAGGAGGAGAGGAGGTGGATTTGCGGTGAGAGAGAGAGGAGGAAGGCGTTGACTTTTCCTGATTGGGCCTGGACTGGGCCGTGTGTTTTTTTTTCTAAACTGTAGTTTCACTATGGATTATTGCTAATTCAATATTTTCATTTTTGAACTAGCTAAATTTATGTTTGTTTTATTTTGCATCATCGAAAACAGCTTTTCTTAGAACATCAATGACCTCGAAGACATCGGCTCCAACACGCTACCAAATTCTCCACCTATGAGTAGCTATACTTTGTTGGAGTATAGGACAAACTTGGTTATATAAAATAGAGCGAAAATGGTCCAAAGTATAACAAATACTCCTCCTATTTCAGTTTGATTTAAGTTTGTAGACAAATATGCTAGTATTTTCGCTATAAAACAAACATATTATCAAAATACATCCAATGTTAAATTTAATGAAACTAATTTGGTGTCGTACATGTTACTAATTTTTTTATAAATTTGGTCAAACCTAAAAAACTTTAACTAAGAAAAAATCAAATCACTTATAATATGAAACAGAGAGAGTATAAAGTTATCCAGTCCAGAATAAAAAAATAAATTAAGAGTGATCAAAGTGAAACTACAATAATAAATGATGGCATAAAGTGGAATTCCACTCTTGGCAAAAAGAGCAGGCCTTTAGTAGGCTAGGGAGGAATATGGATATTGGATTGTGGGCTTTTCCGCTTGTTGGGCCTTTTGTTGGAAACACCCATTTATGGAATAAGTTTACCTTCTGTCCCTCAACTTTACGTCGAGTTTGTACCCTAATCCCCAATACCAGAAATCTTCGCCCCTAAACTATACAAAACTGTGTAATTTAGGTCCCATGGCAGTATAGATGTCTGGTTTCGCTGACGTGACATCATAGTCAGCAAAAGAAAAAGTATATGGGGCCCACATGACAGCTGCCCTCTTCTTTCTTCTCTTTTCTTCCCAAGCCACGTGGTCGCCCGGAAAGGGTGGGAGAGGCAGCTGGCAGGAGATGGGGAAGGGGAGAAGCAGCCTGTCGGTGATATGGACCCGGGGGTATCAAGTTTAGAGGGAGTAGGCCGACCCCAAACCCACGTGGCGCCCCCTGAGGGAGAGGCGCCCGGGTGGAGCAGCGGCTGCTCCCCCCCCCAAATTAGGGGAACCAAGTTTGGAGGGAGGAGGTTGCCCCCAAACCTGCGCAGCACTCCCCCGGAGGGGGGTCGGGCCCGGGGTGGAGTGGTGGCTGCCCTCTCCTCGCTTGGAGGTCGGGCCCGTCCCGACCGAAACTAGAGGGAGAAGGCTGCCCCAGGTGCCGCGTGGCCCTCCCCCTAAGGGGGATCAGGCCCGAGGCAGAGCGGCGGCCGCCTCCTCCTCACTTGGGGGTCGGGCTCCCCAGGTACCACGTGGCCTTATCCCGAGGAGGGATCAGGCCCGAGGTAGAGCGGCGGCTGCCCCTCCTCGCTTAGGGGTCGGGCTCCCCTGAACCCCCTCGCAGGTCACCACGTGCGATGGGTTAGGTGGCCGCCTCCAAGCGCCCACCTACCCGCATTTATGACGATCTCTTAGTCTAATGCGGCATGCAGTGCACTCAACCGGTCTGTGACCGGCCGATTGACCGATGGGACCCGGGGTGCAAGGCGCACTACCGCGCGTGGTAGGCGGCGTGCGTCCTGCCCTGTCCCATCAGTCATGATGATGAGAGGCTAACCCGGTCAGGGTAGGGCTCCCGTTTCTTGGCGCAAGTGAGGACCCAAAAGTCTTCACTCATTAAATGCCGAATGACGGGCATGTCCCTTCTGTCAGCCGGACAAGACCCGGTGGACCCCACGTCACAGCAAGGCGTGCGAGAGGCTTCCAAGACAAGCAACAAGACATGCATTTAATACAAATATTGTAATACATCTCCACTAAGTTAGTTTGTTGGGCCCATGTGGTAACCCCTTGAGCTATAAAAGGAGGTCCAGGCCTACTTAGGGAGGGGGAGAGAAGAAAACTCGGCGAGAGAGAAGAAAACTCAACGAGAGAGGAGGAAACTCCAGAGAAAACTCATGCTTAGGTCTCGCAACCTCAAGCACCTGTGTGCGACACTCAATCAACCAAGCACAGGAGTAGGGTATTACGCTTCTTAGTGGCCCGAACCTGTATAAACCCCTTTCATCTCATCATCTTTGAGGGGCCTAACCCCCTCAAGATCGCCCAATTCCACGCACAAAGGAACCTCGAATCTCACCCGCTGCCCCCGGCCAAACTCAAAAAGGGGGGCCTCACGGTCTCTCGCTAGAGAGGATCACCCCTCGACACAGCCGGTGTGCCGATGGCGGTGGGCTGCCGCATGGGAGCTGCTGCTGGATCCGCGTCCAGTAGCGCCTCTGCCACTCCTGAGAGTGGGAGCAGCTGGATCCTCGTGTCAGTGGCATCCACCCCTTAAGCCGCCTCCTCTCCCGAGGGCGAGGGAGCCGGATCCTTTCGTCCTCGTGGGCAGCTGCTGCGAGCGTGGACGAGTTGATGTAGTGGTGGTAAGTGGTAGTGCTAGCGGAGTAGAAGTCCTAACGCCCAGCGGTGGTGGGGACGATAATAGCGGCATCTGCGTTGAGGTGGCCACTAGGGACAGGGCTAACTATACTGTCGACAAGTATGTCGAAGTCAAGGTCGGGGATGAGGTCATTGGGGTAGTTGTCCTCACCATTGTGGTCACCGGGGACGATGACGTCGCGACCGCTGGATCCCTCCTCTTGGCCGCTGCTGGGGACGAGGTGGTGGGAGTCATCGATGTAGTGCCCCTCCTCTTCCGCAAGCTGGTCCACAACAGTGTGGTCGCTGCTATCCTCCACCATGCTGCTGGTCGGAAGGGCACCAAAACCAATTGTAGCGAGAGGCCTGGTCATGCCGGTGCCGGCCGTGGAGTTTGTCCCGAGTCCCAGGCAGGCTTGCCGCCCGCCTCTCTCCCCTATGTCCCGTCGGCCACCTCCCTCTCCCTCCAGGCTGAAGAAGAAAAGAGAATAAAAACGAGGGTGCTGACATGTAGGTCCCACATTTTTTAATTTTTTTCTGACTAGGATGCCACGTCAGCGAAACCATACATCTACACTGCTATGGGATCTAAATTGCACGGTTTTATATAGTTGATGGGTGAAGATTTCTGGTATTAGAAATAAGGGATGCTAAACAAACTCGAGGTAAAGTTGAGGGATGTCAAGTGAACTTACTGCCCAATTTATCTGTGAACCTGGACGACGGGTGGTGTAACTGGTCGTGAGGCCGGCCCAATAAGGGTGGGCTTTCAGGTTTTCACTGATAAATCTCGCATGCCATTTTTTTCTTTTTTTTTCTTTTTCTATTGAGTGGTATAAATGTCGCATGTCTTGAGAATGATTTGATGTTAAACATTTATAATTAACTCGTCCAGCCGCACATGCTATATATTTAAACAGTCAGTATAAGCGTAGTAATTGCTAATTTATATTTTTAAAAATAAATCATGAAAATATCACAATTGAGATTCCAACCTGAGATATATTAATTTTCAACTCGGAATTTTTACATCATAGAAATGACTAATTAAGGCTCCTGACCAAGTACAACTATATTTATTAATTGATCTTTTTATTAATTTTGGGTTTGGGATTTATTAAATCTATAGAATACTATAACGAAGACTGCCCTTTGTATAGAAGTTAATATTTATTAACGCCAAATCTAGTAATTATTAAATCAATCATAAAAAAAACTATAATTGGGACTTTGGAACAAGTACAAATTGGTGTTTCTAATTTCCAATTTTCAAATACATTGGATTATCGAAAAACAATAATTGGGACCCTGGCATGTTTTTCGGGGTACGTGCATGGTATCAAACAATTAGGCCATTCCCAACCCGATACTAGACATAGTTTCCGTAAACTCTACATCATTAGAAAGCTAGTATTAGACATTAATCTTTCAATGCAAACACTACTTTTTCATACTTAAATTTAATGCTAATTATCTCACATGATGTCTTGGATATTGTGTAGAAACCATGTCTCATGCAAGACTCCTTTTCTTCTCTCATTTATTCACTTACCACATCATCTTTCATCCTAGGTGTCAGCTTATTTATTAATGCTATGGACACCATCCTAATTATTGGGTTAGAAATAGCCTTAAACCCTATAAACTATTAAATGTTTTTTTATCCTTCTAAGCTGGAGTAGCTAATATTGCAGTATAAATATAGTTATAAACAAAGTCTAAATATGTAGATCCAAGTCACTCCAATCTGAAACAGGATCTAGAACAAAAAAAACATTCATGTCCTAGTTTTCGATTAAAAATCAAAAATAATTTCTTGTACATCACTGAAGTTCAGCTCATTTCCTCATTTTAAAATTCATTATATAAGATCATGTTATTTTCTGATTTAGATGCAGATTCGTTATCGATTTTCATTAGTACGTTGTTCAAACTACTAAACAATATATCTTGTGTAGAAACTTTCTATATAGAAGTTGTTCTAAAATATCAAATAAATTTATTTTTAAAGTTTATAATAATTAAAACTCAATTAATCGTGCTGTGTCTTTTCGTTTTACATATGTTCTCAATCTTAATCTTTATCTACCTCAAACGGGCCTAAATGGGTCTTAAGCACTTGGTTCTATAAGTTTGTGCAATGTGAGCTTCGATTTATCTGTCCTGCAAATCGTGAGATCCATAGTTGTAAAGTCAAAATTGGCAGTGTCAAAGATTCTTGTCACTAGATGATGGGTAGCTCCAATGGCGCGCCGCCTGTACACAATTTTCGTTACACAAACAATACGGATGACTGTGCTACAGTAATAAAAAAATATGTACATTTCATATACTATACATTTATACAAGGCTAGGGACGAAGGATCATTCACTAATTCGTGCTTGACTTAAGAACGACATATACATACAAAACCAACATATACAGACAGCCTAGAGTCCCAATGAAACCTCCATTTTCATTGGTTTTGAAACCTCCATTTTCAACCAATTGGTGTGGTGCCCTGGATATTGGAAGGGTCAACCGGTATCTCTTACCAAAAACCAAGTAAAATGGCCACCAGTAAGCAAAACATTGTATTTTCACTGACACCTTCTCAAATAGCTTGCAAAAGATTATCTCTAGTCAGTTTCCCACAATTAATTACTCCACCAATTATAAAATATTTTTCTTAGACAAGGACCAATTGAAAAATCCATCCTGAAGCAACACAAGATTTCTCGAAGGAGAATTCATGAATACGATTTCTCAAGCAATTTTACTACTACAATGCGTGATAGGTGAGCATTGATCTACCAGGGAGAAGCCGCAACCCATTTGCTACAGGTATTAGATATTGCTTGAACGTGAAAAATACTATCCCAGAAATCATGATAAGCACCTCAAGATCAGGACAGCAGTAGAATAAGGGATCTCGAGCAACAACTACCATCACCAGCTTCATGGAAGAAAAGAGAATAAAAGTAAGTATATTAGGAATTAAATATAACCCAAAGAGGTTCAACTCTTCAATCCAGTAAAAACAAATATGATTGATCACAGCAGAGTAGCACTTCCAGGAAAAAAAAAATGTAGGCATGCAGTTGTCCTCGAAGGGTTTATCATATGAGGGATTTTATCCTTACTATATTAATTTTCAAAAGATATATTATAAAAAGAATTTAATACACCCATAATGCATATAATACACATACTGGAAAAAAGGTCTAAAAGCCCATATTTGAACTATCAAACATGAATCATATCTAAATGTGATTCAATAAACATAGAAATAGTGAGATGGAGTAAAAGCATAGAATATAAGCCTCGAGATAATTAAATTCAGAAAATGACACCTAAGAATGTATTTATATTCAAGCGAGATGGATTAATTATTCTGGAGGGGTGTACATGCATGATATCACATAAACACAATGCAGTTTTCCCTGTTATACCATGTACCTTGATGACAACGAGGAAGAATAGCTTCATCAGCTCCTTTAGAAAGAAGAAGGATCTTCCCACTCTGGACATCCTTCACCACAGCAGACATTCTTTTGCGATCGGAAGTAAACTCCAAAATATCCAACAAATCATAATAGAACTTACAACCGTTGAAAGAAATCTCTGTAGAAATAGAAAATAGTGAAATGAATGCAAAAATCAGTCTGAGATAAGAAAAAGCAACCTAGTTAGAGCAATTCATTGTCATATCATCTTAATCTAACAAAAATATACCAACCAGCAGTGTTGCTGTCTTTACTCACAAGCACCGTATTTAGTTTTGATGCAGCAGTGACCAAAGCTTCCTCGTCTTGTGATTGTGCTTGGTATGTTATAGTACCACCATTGCTGAAATTAGGAACAAGGAATAACTAAACAGCAGGCATTTTCAAAGTACAGTACTGTAACATGAAGAAGATGCCACTTACCTTTTGATAGGAACAACTGTACTGCAAAGAGCCATCACCGTGAGAAATTTGACAATATCAGGATCGTTACACGAAACAGCATCTAGAAGTCTGGCATCTAATTAGAGAGGAAAAACAATTAGTTAGAGAGCAAAACAAAATATTGACCAATAAATGATATATCAATATTGATAATATAATTGAACAAATCCATGAAAAAATTCTGTGTAGTTCCTGCGACCTAGAAAAAAGGTATCATGCAGTATAGTCTGAAAGGATGAAGCAAAGATTAGTGTGTTAGATGTAATGCATGAACAATTCACCTACTTAAAAAGCACATGAGTTAATACCCAGGCACATTTATAGAAGGTAAAATCTCCAAAAAAAATGATTAACCCAGGCACCTAAGGAGATGTTTGGATGATGCCTAGGGATGCCACAAGCTTAGCCAAATTGTGGCATGAAGAAAAAGTGTGGCTAGAAAATAGTTGGCCACAGGTGTGGTATAGTTAGCTCTAAAACTGAGTATGACAAGTGGGACCTAAGGCTAATGAAGTGTGGGACGACACAATTGTGAGAATGAAACAAATATACACCTAAGAAACCGTGGCATGACTAAAGTGTGGTGTGGCAAAGTGAGGGAATGAACCAAACACCCCCTTTATTATCCCTGACACCTTCACATAAGCTGAGCCAGAAACAGAAGGTTGATTGAGTTTACAATGCATTGTAAGGACTTAACAAATGGGGAGCATCTATTGTTGCTGTTTGCAAATTCCTATTTAACTCAACACTCGTGAATCAACATTTCACATGCCACTGAAGAAAGTCAGACAGTTCATGACCAGATGTGCAAACAAATAACATTGTATTACACTAAGCCCAGAGAAAAGAGAATTTCTCCTGGTAGCTAGAACATAAGTGGATAACCTTTTAAAGCATCCCCATTGTTTTCTCCATAGAGTATCACTCATGCAACATCTTCTGAAAATCATTCTGTTTTCTGTCAGTGTTCCAGTTCCGTCACTCAAAATATACTCAACCTGTCCAAGGTCTTCACTAATAGTTGTGCTGAAAGAGACACTTATGTAAGCTGTACTAAAAAATAAATAGGTTGGATGAAAAATCTAAATTCACATATATGGAAATAATATGGCACATAATTAGCTGAATGAGCAGGCGTACATGTTTCCCGATCGAACATTTGTTCATCCCAGTCAATGAACTTTGCATATACACCTTTAGCCAGATCAAGAGTTACCTACAACCAGTGCATAAAAGAACATTTTAAAAATTACATGGATTGCAGGAAATACTGTCAAGAACATAACCGAACACCAAAATAGCTTGTTTTCACTGCCTGGATAAATGGATTGCCTAAAATCAAACCAAGTATCCAACAAAGGGAAATTTTTTTTTTTTGGGATTGTATGTGTTTGTTCAGTGTACACATTCTGGCACGCTTCATCCATATGATGCATGGCGCGGGGGTGGGCGGTGAAGAAAACCCTTGTCAAGTCCCTTTAACAAATAATCGACAACAATCACTTCACAGAGACCATTGTATAGCGAACATCTACATCAGTGATGCTATCTCAATAGTTTACTGATTTCTCCAGGCTGTGAGCATTTGAGGTTTTTCAAACAAGTCTTCCAGGCAAGTACAGGGCCCAATAGGTGGCTATCTAGAGGAGGTCCCTGCTGCCAAAGGAGTCAACAAGGTACTGGAGTTGCATTGGCCATCAATTATATATGTTCAATCACATATTACAAACAGGAACTTGTAAAGAAATATCTAATAAACTCTTCTTATATTTCCTTTAATCTAACTATCTAAGTCAATGAAAATTGTAGGGAATGCAATGAGACACGAAATAAATGCATGCTAGAAAAAAGTGGTTTGAATAAACTAATCTGAGAACTCCAGTCCATGGTTGGTTTCTCTTAAACATTGAATTATATGAAGGCCTCTATTCGATGGATTTATTAGTATCAACTTGCATTTAACAGGAACAATGGCCACTACAACTGAAACAATGGTACAATACAATCATCAAAGTTGTCAAGCTCAGTGACCAATAGATACTCACCTTTTAATTATGTCTAGGTAGATAAATCCGCATCATGCAAGAGAAAGGCTATTTATAATTGCATCCAATCATGTACAAATTATGTGGAAAGACACCTTTTTTCAGAACTGTAAGTGAACCTATAATTTTATTCTCTTTTCGCAGGCTAGGGTTGGGTGTTTCCGAAGTTACAAATCAAATAGTAAATTACACAACATTTCACCCTGCCCCTGCTCTGTTTATATACAATTATTACATGCAGCACTGAAGAGAGATTTATGAGTACAAAAGCTTCTTTTGGTTTATTTTGATAAAGTTATGTCACAAACTTACAATAACATAACTACATGATCACCTTGGCCCTGCCCTTGGAAGAAGAAATTAACAGAAGATAAAATAGCTTACGGTTGGCTGAGGAGCAAGGGTAATTTAATGAATTCAGGGTACTTGTGAGGCTGGATGACAATGCTGTCTAGGATCAATTTTATTACATATACTACTCTAAAAATACAAAGCTGGACATCTATTCTATTTCAAGTATAATTTACACTGGGCCTGATGGCTAATATTAAATAACTCGGGTTTTGGCATTCCAACATATTTGTAAGGAATTGCATGTGGCCTTACAGGCAATGTTAAAAAAAATGTGCAGTGTCCTTTGGAACACAGGAATTTCAGATGATGTAGTTCATTTCACACAGGAATCAGGGAAAAAAGTCCTGTGCTCCAAAGGATGTCATATAGGTTTTTCTTGGGCTCTTGTTCAGCTCTAATCTGGGAGATGATACATATGTTGGATTAGCATTGATTAATGCTAGTTGTTCTTGCTATTACCACCCTACTACAATGGTAGTAGCAAAATACCCATAATAATCAGATGTCTCTATCACCTGAAATAGTAAGAATCATGGAAAAAAAAGATTCCCGGTTAATGATGGCAAGGATTGAGACTGACTGTCCAAAAGAAATAGTTCAGGCAGCAATAAGAAATTAAAAATCTGCATCAAGTACACGAGATAGCCAAATAATGGATAGGGCCAGGGGAAATGACATTTATTTGATCCCTGCAGAATTTGCACATGAGCATACTACTTGGCTATGGATGATGGTGGTGTGGCCAATATAGGGTGCATATGAAAATGTTGCAAGGAAAAAAGGGTGCCCTTTATACCGATGAAGAAAAAGAAGTGCATTTTAGCTTGATCAAGAACTAACCCAAAAGCAGGCTACTCGTCAACACCGTTTCACTCCCTCTTAGTGATATGTGTTCATGTCTACTAGGCCAGCAAGCACATTACGTTCGTCGATACATTGATGTTGCCACTGCCCTTTTCATCGCCTGCAGAAGAGCCACCCCTGCATGCACACAGACAACAAGACAACCAGCTTTGAGTTGAAGGGAAATCCAAATTATATATCTGATACTATTGAGTTAATTCAGTGTCTCAAAGAATATTAGCAACTCCAATTTGATGACCAAAAATCCTCCACAAAATTGATATTTTTAAAACCTTGATGCTACAGATCGAATAACATGACTGGATGTGTCCTAGCTCCAAATATCACAATATAGGTGCTATGTGTTCCTATCGGGCTCACCTCACCTACTTCAGGGAAGAAATTGGTTAGCAGCCATACCTGGACAGCGGCAGCATGACGGTTGCCATGGCCTCGCACCGCCAGTGGCTGGCGCACATGCAACACGCCAGGTCCTTCTGCTCTGGCCACCGCTTTCCACTCGATGCCTCCATGAACGACACCAGCTCAGCGACGAGCCACCATAGGTTTGGCCCCGACAATCACTTGAAATGAAAGTTGAGATTACAAATACGGCAAGCAGGAAAGCCGGTGAAATCGAACTGCATCATCTTGCCATTTTCCTCTCAAATATGACGGTAAGCCAACATAAGAAGTGATTTTTTTTTACCTCTCAGATCTGGTTGCCGACACCGCCGCTGTGGTAGAGAAGTAGGCCACCATGTAACTCAATGAGCATGGTAATAACCATGCGCTGAGGTGGTCCTCACTACCGCCACCGCTGATTGCAACTTCCGCTGGTTTCCACACGCATATACTCGAGCGCGTCGTCACCGTGCTCCTCACCGCCAACGCCAACCCATTGGCGTCGATCATTGTATAAAGTCCAACAGCACCCCATATCTCATTGTATCGGATTACTTGTATGCAAGACTATTATTTATCCATTAAAATGTAAAAGCAAGTGTGACCATATTTTACATGAATTCGACACTACAAACACACAATCATGCACACAGCCAACAAGGCAACAACATGCTTTTCCTGATTGGACGAACAGGAATTTCAGAGATATTGAATAACAAAATGAAAGTTTCATACCTCTATTTTTTGCAGTCAATATTTAATTACTTCTAGAAACAACATTCACTGTGCTGCAGTCATCCAAAATATGAGCCTCTATGATTACTTTCATCCAAACACATTGTCATCATGTGATCATTTTTAAGTCACAGACATGTCACAAGAAATAAACTTTTTAAAAACTAACATGAAAGAACTATATGCGAGTTGAAAACATATAAAGCGACACCTTAACCAATTCAACCGAAAATACTATGTATCACTGCTAAATTGACCCTTTCAACCATGTGAAATTCTTCCCCTGCAAATATTATATATCCAGTATGCAGATACAATAAGGTGGTCTAGATGTATTGTGGTAGACATCCAAAATTTTAATTGTCAGCATATCGTATTAAAATTCCAGTTTTATATAATTATTTGAACAGTACTGAATCGTTCAGAATGCTGTACATGTATCTGTGATGTATATTTAAAAACCTCTGAGCATAGACTATTACCTAGACCGGCAAGTTGAAGACAACGGTGACGATGACGGCAGGTTGAGGACGGCGACGAGGGCGGCGAGGCCAGTAGCCCCTGCCATCATGGATGTCATACGCCCAGACCGCCACCGATGTGTGCCACCACGAAGCTCGGCATCTTGAGCCGTCCCTCGATCTGCAGCACCAGGAGCAGCGGCGGCCGAAGTCGGATTTGGACGGGGGCGGTCAGAGAGGGAGGGAAGAGGGAGAGGGAGAGGGTGAGGCGAGGAGGGGACGCGGGTGGTCAGATCCGCGTGCCCTGACCACACGGAGGCCGGATCCGGACGTCGACCGTCGGAGGAGGCCGGAGGCGGAGGTCGCTCGCGACGGGCCGAGGACGGGGGTGGGGGGCGGCGACGCGAGGCGTGGACTGGGGCGGTGGTGGCCGGCGGAGGCGGCGAAGGGCGGAGAGTGGACCGGCCGCGGAGGAGGAGGACGGGAGAGGGAGGAGGGGAGAGGGAGGGGCGGCGACGGCGGGCACAGCGGCGGCGGGAGGGGGAGGCGGCGGCGGCGGCGTGAGAGGAGAGGGAGGGCGCGGGATGAGAGAGAGGAGGAGAGGCGGGCAGAGGCGGCTATGGTTGGGAGCGGGTTAGTGCGCGGAGCTTTGCGAAAAAGCCCCTCTTCTTTTTAGTTTTACATAGCAGTCCCAGCGCGCGATTTTTCCCTCCTTATCATGTAATATCCGTCTTTTTTTAAGAGCCTTTATGTAAAAAACTACCTCACAGGTACTATTCGCGGGGACTGCGGCCGAATTACGCCCAAACCGGAGGGCTTTTTCGCAAAATCGTCAACCCACGCACTATTGCTATCCTACGTGGCACCCCTCCTTGCTCGCCCCTTCTGCGCGGGTTAATAATTCCCCGATTCCCCGATGTGGAGGCAGTCAAGAGCACACAGCACTCTGTATATATCGTAATTAATTAGCATAAAAATGTTCTGTTCAAGGCACGACAGAAAAACGTGCCATAGCCTATAGCATCTAGTCTGATATAGTATCAAATTAAATGAATTGCTACTTCAGCTTTCCTCCGTAGAGAACCCGAGAATTGTGTCTTGATTCATTCAAAAATTGTTAAATCAAGGCGTGAAACTGTTAAATTCCTGCAATGTAATCGAGAAAAGGAAAAAGAAAAATCAGCATGATAGCTTTCATTTGTGGTTCTCGGTAGAATTCAGAAGCCCACATGCCTGCCTGCCTTGGTTGGGGCGAGGGTTGGAGCATTGTGCTGGGCACCACAATGCACTGCACACTGTCTTTCTCTGCATTTGCCTACCTCTCTACTGTAAATCTGTAAAAGTCATCTTCATAGGTTGAAGCATCTCTCTTATTATATCCCAGCCTGCAGTGTCATTAGTAGATAACACATGCAAGATTATCTAGAGCAAGTACAGACCGAAGACTTAATACTTGGGCCATAGATAAGGGCATGGATAACATAACAATTAAGTTGACCTCTTGACTGACCGACATGGCCATAGAGATATAGATAAATGTCGCATGCATCTTTGTATCCCCAACCAACCTTCGTACGAAAAGCAGTAGCTTTCTTTACTTAGAACTGTTAATGAACTATGTACTACTCCACTAGTACATGTCATGTGACCGGGTTTCCTCAGCATGGAAGCTAACAGTATCACACGACACAAGATTGAGAGCAAAAGTATAGACCTACCAACCACATAACCATCTACTCTCCAAAATAATCTTCTTATCTCCTTCAAGTCTCATCTTCTTTGTGTCCTTTCGAGGACTCATCTAATCATCTTTTTGCATCTTTGTCCTTAACCATGCAGTATGCAAACATTGGGATAATGATTGACATGTATGAAAATCTTATGGGCCTGTTTTTTCCTTTCCTAAATAACCGAATGACTTTGTGATTACTATTAGAGGAATCGAGGGTGTAAATGAATGAATTAACTATTATCAGTTTTAAAAAAATGTTTACAATAGTAGTCTTTTTAAGAAACTCATATAGTTTTAAAAAAATCGCTTAGAAGTTTGAGAAGCGTGTGTCACATTAATCCATTCTTCTACGAACATGTCTATGGTTGTGTTCGGGAGAAGGATGCAAAACGATGTATGCATTGACACATGATTAATTAAATATTAGTTATTTTTTTAAAAAAATAGATTAATATAATTTTTAAAGCAACTTTCATATATATTTTTTTTTAAAAAAAACATACACGGTTTAGCAGTTTGAAAGAGGTGCGCGTGAAAAACAAGACATGATCGAATTGGGAAAGTGAATAGGAGAACTCAACCTATATACTTTTCTCTAACTACCTCTTTTATATTATGGATTAGTTTTCGTGGTGCTTTTATTTTCCTTTCTTCGTTGTCCCTGAGATGTCACACCGAGCAAAAAAAAAAGCAAGAACATGATGTTACAACTTACAACACTTAATTAGGTATAGTTGTCAAACAAAAGTCTTCATGAAATGTGCTTGTTATTAAGTTGCAGTTTAATTATAGTTCACATTGCTGTTCTACAGACATTTTGAATCTCTATTATCGCCGTGTTTAGTTCCAAAATATTTCTTCAAACTTCCAACTTTTTCATCACATCAAAACTTTTCTACACACATAAACTTTCAACTTTTCCGTCACATCGTTCCAATTTCAACCAAACTTCCAATTTTGACGTGAACGTACTAAACACAGCTTATGTTCTCGAAATAAAGACACGACCAACCGCAGAGAAAGAGGCACTGTGAAGTGCACCTAATCTAAGTCAGCGTCACACAATTTCAATTGTGAGTAGTGCTCACACAGACACAGTACGTACAATTAATGTCATATATTCATATATGACACTGGTGGAGAAACCATCTTTGGTCGGTCGACCAAATTTCACAATAGTCCCGGTTCCATTAAAAACCGGGACTAAAAACGATTTTTAGTCCTAGTTTAAAAATTTTTGATCTTTAGTCTCGGTTGGTAACACCAACCGGGACTAAAGATGATTTGTAGTCCCGGTTTATCCCCTGTCAGATGTATGTCAGGGGGTCGGGGATCTTTACTCCCGGTTGATACTACCAACCGGGACTAAAGATTACCACTTTAGTCCCGATTGTTGATACCAATCGGGACTAAAGATCAAGTGATCTTTACTCCCGGTTGGTATTACCAACCGGGACTAAAGATCGATCTTTAGTCCCGGTTGGAGTTATCAACCGGGAGTAAATATTTCTCTCCCACATCCGATCGGTTAAGTCCCAGACAGATATTTAGATAAGATTGGAACATCCCCTCTCTTCCTCTTCTCAGATCCAATCCTCTTCCTCCTCCCCTTCCCTCTCTTCCTCCTCTCCTCCCCTTCCTCTTCTCCTCCCCTCTCCTTCCTCCTCCCCTCTATTCCGTCTTCCATCAGCCGGCCGGCGGCGGGCGGCGGCGCCACGGCCGTGAAGGGGGAGGCGGCGGCGGCGGCGTGGCCGCGCGTGGGGAGGCGGGAGGCGGGCAGCTCGGCCGCGTGCGTGGAGGCGAGCGGCTGCGCGGCCGCGCGCGTGGAGGCGGGCGGCGGGCGGCGGCACGGCCGCGCGCGGGCAGGCAGCCGGCGGGCGGCTGCGGAGGGCAGGCGGCCGGCGGCGGCCGCGGCTGCACGCGGGTAGGCGGCGGCCGGGCGCCGGCTCGCTTGTTTTTTTTGTTTTTTTTTATAATTTGTGTTTCACTGGATGTATAATTTTTTAGATATTGTGATTCATTGCATCGCATGGATTTAAGATGTATAATTTGTATAATCTGTGATGTATTTAATTTGTGTGTAGTTTTTTAGGATTTGTGATGTAGTTGATCTGTGTGTAGGATTTGTGATGTATTTGATTTGTGTGTATAAGTAACTTAATATTTGGGATGTTGATTTGGGGATGTGCATCTCATTCGATTTGGGAAAAAATACATAGATTAACACTAGCCATTAGCAAATCAACAACAAAATAATAATAATAATAATAATAAAAGATCTTGAGGAACTGTCGCTTCCCCTCTTACACCAACCGGGGCTAAAGATTCCCCCTCTTTACTCCCGGTTAGTAACACCAACCGGGACTAAAGATCGATCTTTAGTCCCGGTTATTTGAACCGAAACTAAAGATAGCGATCTTTAGTGCCAGATTCGTAGTCTCGGTTGGAAAACCGGGACTACAAAAGGTTTTAAACCGGGAGTAAAGAGCATTTCTCTACCAGTGAGGACAGTGCAACACACTAGATGGAGTTGACTCTATAATTTTCAAAAAAGTTTTTTTTTGTCAAATTAATATGTCATTCTTAATGCAGACATGCAGTACATCTAATTTTATTTAAACATGCATTAATTACACGGTAAGAAAGAAAATATTTACCAAAGAAAACCTCAAGATATTATACACAATAGTTGTCGCTCTCTCAACCACCTCAAAAAAGTGAGATCCTTATTCTTAACTAGACTGCACATTGCTAAGAAAAAAATGTGTAACATGAGTAAATATAATGTGCAAAGTGGATTTGCTTTGCTAAACAGGTTGAGTTCATTGACACAATCTACACCCTCCATATATAGATCATCAAATCACTACCACGGAGCATCACATTAGTGCCACCGTGTCGTCGGTTCGATAAAACCTGACACTGATGATGGTCTCCCGCCTAAGAAAACGAGCTCATGCGATGTAGAGGCTACAACCAGTATATATAGATCGATGAGAAGACATTAGTGCCCGACCTACATCCAACACATATTGGTCAGTGCATAGTCAGTGTTGTGTTATGGTATACTGATCGATGCACAGTTAGGGTTATGTTATGGTATAAATCAACACGGATGAATAACCCATCAGTACCGAATCTAGTCGATTGGAGTGGGATGGGATGCCCTTCTGGCAGGATTAATGGTAGAAATATTAAGCTAATGTAAGAGGTCGAAAGGTAGAAACAATTGACGTAGTGTGGTAATAAAAGTTAGAACTAAATACATGATGTGCATATCTAGAGAACAGAGACAATTTATATATACCATATGTATGAATGATCGAAAAGCTAGAAAAAAATTTGGGCACATGAATGATCCACATAACTTCATGATCAAGAGAGAATTAACAATAACACTACACTTAGTGGTGAGCAACTCTATAAGTAAAGGATAACATAACAGTGTATAATCCTCTCCTACAAGCTAGCTATTTTTTGAGGGTTAATTAAGCTCTTGTTCAATAAGTTATCATTCAGGAAAAGCACCAAGGGTGTGTTTTTGATGAATCATGGAAGTATGACTTAATGAGGTTGCAAATACTGATAACGAGTATTAAGCTTTCAATATAAATTTACTGAGACTAGGGATTGTTCACAACATAGTCTCTGTCTAAGCTCAAGAACATTTCCATTGTCACTCCTTACATACGCCCACTGTTGGAAGTGATATGTGATATATCTATTATTTTGCATTCGTTGGCCGTGCCATCAATACTGGCTTCAAACTTAGAAATTTTCATCCATAGCATATGCGGTATTAAAAAATGGCACTGAAAATTTTCGCTTTCGACTGGTACCACGTGTCACTCGTTTTCCATCTATCCATAGCCCTTCCATCTCATCTAAAGTTAACCGAGATATATAATTTGGCCCAAATTACCTCTTAACATATATGTGCCCCCATCTCCAATTTTTTCCTCAAGCCCCCACCTCCCTAACTAAACCTAAAACAGAGATGGAGAACAGGGAGAGCCGCAGCTCATTGCCAGCACGTAGCAATTCTTGTTTCTCTCTCTCTTTCCCTAGAAGAAAGTCGAAGAGGAAGTGCAAAGTGGTTACCACGTGCAGAAGGAATTGAGTAAGAAGATCTGAAGATGGAGACAAAGATACAAAGAATATAGAGAGTTCAGTTCTCTGTTACAAGAAGTGAGAAATTCTCTGCTAAAGATCATAACGTGAGCTATATATGCAATGCAAATCGATGGTGTCCTTTGGAATTTAATTTTTGCAAATCAATGATCGAATAGGACACAACAAATTAGTTCATCATGGGTTGGGTACAGGGGAAGGAGTCGCCAGCCGCTGTACTAATCACCTTCTCTCACGATGGTGAGGATGAAGAACATGAATAGTCCAGCCCAACCAAGTCAAGTGAGGACTAAAGGCAAGTTCGTCCTTTTCTGTCTCACCACGGTTGTGATGAAAGTACTTTCGATCGAAGAAAAATGAGTGATCTATGCAATTAGTTGAAATCGAAAACTTTTTGTGCTATTTTTGATACCAATCGACCTGATTTATGTGCTAAAGATAAAAATTTGTCAAACTTCAAGCGAGTAATTAGTACAAACTAATTAAGGAATCACGAGTTCATTATTCATGAAGGGAGAACTTTTGGTTCATAGAAGACGATCATATATGTAACACTCGCGAAATACACTACAACTTGTAAGTATTTTAGGGAAAAAAATAAAGTCCATAATGAAATTTTGGACACTGTGGAAATTTTAAAAAAAATCAACAGTGAATATTAAAACCATTCACTAATTCATCCTTGAATTTTTAAAAGTCATACACACCTTTTTTTTACTTTCACTAGAATTTAGAGTGATTGTAGATGACGTAGTGAAATTTTGTAAGGATTAAAATCAAATTTTTAAAAAGAAATTGGCTTCCAAAAATTTGTAAACAAGGTTACTTTGTCTATTCACATCTATAACCTACATAAATTTGGTATACGGGCAAAAAACTAAAATGTATAAATGAGAGACAACAAATAATTTAATTATGATGCAATGCAACACTTTTTTCTGGCTGAACTGTGCAACCAAGAGTTTTTTTTTCTGGTGCCTTTTAAACTGATTTAGTAATTTTAGAAATATTCAAATAACATCCAGGGATTTTGTTTATGTTTTTGAATTCAAATTTAAAAGCTAGTAGAACATGAACTGAAAAGTTCTTAGAAGATGTTGATCCTTGGTGTATATAGAACCAAGATAATTAAATCCAGGATACAATATGTATTTAATTTTATATATTATATGTCATGGACAATTGTATTCTATTTTGGTTGTATCCAGCAGCGGATCTAGAAAAATGATTTGTTGGTGTCATAATGTATCTATTGGTGTCATAGCATGCTAATTATATTTAGACTATAGTGTTATAATATATGAATAAACAGTTTAACTATAGGTTTTGTTGAAAGTTGTCGGTGTCACCTGACACGATGCTAACACTGTAGATGCACCCATGGCTGCACCAAATTAATCTAGGTAAAAGTACTCTTTAGGGCCAATGATTTTTATTGTCATTTCAGTAATTTTCCAAATTCAAAAATTATTTTAGCCTTGGGCTACATCTCCATATTACCCAAAATACTCTATACTCCATTCAAAGGTTGATATGTGACATAACTATTTTGATAGTTTATAAGTGTATAGTGTCACGTCTTAAATTAAGTTCGGGTTACTTAATTTGCTGACTTATTTCATGAAAGTTGAATGCTCAAGGTTATATAATGAACTTTTACCTGATTCTAATAACACTACAATTCGGAGTACTAAATATTATCGCAAATTCACACTTTCACAAAACTATATATAGACTTGGTATGCAATGAATTAACGTAAAACAATAGATATACATGTTAGGGTCCCTAGTACTATGGTAGTCATGGATAACTTTTATATTTTCGTTTAATATGTAGGCTGTGTTTAGTGTTTAGTTCCACACTAAAATTGAAAGTTTGAAGAAATTGAAACGATGTGATGGAAAAGATAGAAGTTTTATTTGTAGGAAAGTTCAATGTGACAGAAAAATTGAAAGTTTGAAGAAAAAAGTTAGAATCTAAACAGGGCCGTAATCTTACAATAATTTTGTCAAAATATCCCTAGTTTCTGCTTGAAAGTAACATCAATGAGTCACATCACAAATCATTCTACTTATAGATTAGTAGAAAATGCAAGTAAGACGGTAAAATAGTACTCCCTACCTTCTTTTTTTTCATATGACTTTGATGTAAAAAAAAAGAGGGATTGTATAGTAATATAATAGTAACTTTAAGGTTAGCGCATTGTCAGCATCAGCAATTTGTTTTGCTTGTGCTAGCTTTACGCATCTGACACGTCTTACTTTTGGAAGAATCTCACTTCTATATATGAATACTATTCAACTGCATTTTTCTGATTTTTATACTAGCAAGTCAAATTCCACCTTAACCAACCCACTTCACCAGCAGGTTGCACATATCATGTAGATCTAGGTATCAATTTTCGAATCCAACTCAAATTCTAACATGGACCTAACTGTCATGTTACTTGAGAATTCCCCAACAGCTAACAAAAGGAACATGTTAACATGACCAAGCATTGACGTCTGATTATATTGTTGATGCAAGCATGTGGGTACCTCATTATTTATCATTGGATGATTGAAAACCTGAAAAAAAAAAAGCAAAGAGACTCTAAATAATGATTAAGTTTCATTTTGATCTCTTAACGCGTTAAGAACAAACAAAAGGGAAAATGTTCTCGAGAAATTATATATTGACATAAGTTTGTCGATTAAACAAATCAACAACTTCAGGGACATAGTAGTAGCTAGGATCGATCGATCTTTATCATCCCAAGTGCAACCAGGTTTTCATAAATTAAATCCCAAAGTCAAAGACAACCCTAATGGATTCATGTGCTCTTTGCTCTGGACCACATTGCATGCATGCCCTCCCTCAACCTATTTATCTCATCACTAATCAGTTACCTCTCCCATTATTTTTTTCCTTAAAGAGCAAGTTTAATAGTAGATCCAACTACTTATCGTAAGCCTATATCTTTTCTTTATATAAAGCTAATGCCCACTAAAAACCTAAAGTTCAATATGCAAGCATAGTATTTATTAGCACTCCTAAAATCTACATACAAGCATTGCACATCAACCCATTAAGCACACAAAGCTCAACATGCAAGCATATAGTAATTATATCTACAATTTACTTCATTCTAAAACTAAACATACACATGCTAAATCATCATTCTCAAATCATTTCATAATATTTCAAGAGTAATTGCATCGTCGGTACACGAACTTGCCAGGTGGGTGTAATCTAGTGCATGAACTTGTAAAGTGCTCGTTTTTGTGAATGAACTTGTCTGGTGCGTGCGGAGGAAGGCGAAAAGGACACTACATGGCTAATCCTACTGATTTAGGGGCTGGTTAGGAAATTATGTAAACATATATATCAGATGGTTATTATTAGACATACACCTCTTTAATAAAAAAATAGAATGGGATATAATGATAGTAGAAAAAGATAAAGAAAAAGAGCAATGATATAAGGGTTAGAAATATATGAAATTCATTATTTCCATGACAAAGGATAAAGTAGAGACCAAATTTCTAAATATTATATGTTTTATGCATGCATACTCACTACACATATGCACGTCACATCTTAATCAACATCATCTTCGTAAATTTAATATGGTCAAGTTATTTTGGTCCTCGTTCGCACGGACTAAACAAGTTCGTTTACTGAAACGAGCATTTTACAAGTTTATGTACTAAATTTCACCCACCTAACAAGTTTGTATACCACCAATACAATTTTCCAAATCATTTCATCATCTCTCCATTATTTAACATATATCCCGGAGCACAGCGCGGGACGTCATCTAGTATTAGCTGATAATTAAGGTTATCTCTAGTTTTTTTCTTCTCTATTTCTCTCAATGTATATTTAATGTATTTATTTTGGGTACTAGGTGAAACCTCGCGCATTGCTGCGGGAATTTAGTATGAAGATATACATTGAAACATTATGTGAATTATGTTGGATGATAATTAAACATGTTTGTATTTGAAAAGCTCTTAAATTATAAAAACTATAAAGATATAGCATGTTTGCATGATGTTTAAATGTGATGATTGTTAGTGGTTGATGATGTGGCATCTTGTTAATTAGTGTATGATGATGTGGCATCTTGTTAATTAGTGGATGATGATGTGGCATCTTGTTAGTAGATGATGATGTGGCATCTTTGCATGAAGATATACATTGAAACATTATGTGAATTATGTTGGATGATAATTTAACATGTTTGTATTTGAAAAGCTCTTAAATTATAAAAACTATAAAGATAGAGCATGTTCGCATGATGTTTAAATATGATAATTGTTAGTGGATGATGATGTGAAATCTTGTTAATTAGTGGATGATGATATGTCATCTTGTTAGTGGATGATGATGTGGCATCTTTGCATGTTAAGCTTAAGGAGTTAGTGAGGATAAATTTATAGTAAGATAGGATATGAAGAGCTAGCTCTCCATAAGAGCCAACACCCATCATTTTTCTTTACTTCTCTCCTCCGTATAATATTATAACTGATTTATAGCTTGCTATTATACCTGCTTTAAATGGGCTATCTCTCTCTCATATTCAAAAGTGCCAAACCCCACAGGGCTAAAAGCCTAAAAGCCACAAATCACAACCAGGCCATCTCCTGAATCTGGTACATATCTCACAAAGTCATAGGCCTCATAGCTTAGCTAGCGGCTCACATCTCTCACTCTCTTTCTCCAAAGTCCAATCTCTCTCTGGTCTCGATCTACCTAACGTACGTAGCTCGCCGAGGAAGAAGATCGAACATTATGCTTCCGAAGAGCTCGAGCCAGAAGACGCTGCGAGCGGCCATGCTGGAGGAGAGGGCGGCGTCGGCGACCAGCACGACGACGATGGCCAGCCGCCTCCTCCACTCGCCGGACGCCGCCGTCTCCAACCCTTCCTTCCGCGTCTACTACGGCGTCGCCTCCGCCGGCTCGGTGCCGTTCCTCTGGGAGTCGGCGCCGGGGACGCCCAAGAACGACGCCATCTTCGCCGCCGCCCTGCCGCCGCTCACGCCGCCGCCGTCCTACTACACCACCAGCAAGAAGGGCTCCGCCGCCGCCGCCAAGGCCAAGCTCGCCAAGTCCACGTCGTCCAAGCGGCTGCTCTGCTCCTCCTCCAGGCAGGCCGCCAGCTTCGTCCACAGCATCATCCCCAAGCTTCGCCGGAGCCACACCATGCCGTCCCCTATGAGGAGCTCCGCCTCGGCCACGGCCGCCGCCGCCAGCGACGGCGAGCAGGTGCAGTGCGGCGCCCCGAGGAAGAGGCTGGTGGCGAGCCCGCGGTCGTCGTTCTCGTCCACGTCGAGGGGCGACGACGACGACGGCGAGGTCGCCTCGCCGACGTCCACGCTGTGCTTCCGGACGCGGCACTCCGGCGGCGGCGGCGGCGGCGGCAGGAGACTGCACGGGCTCTTGGCGTCCGTGGTTGGAGGTAACTAGGGTTACATTTTTTTTCCTGTTCATGGCGATGTCTCATTGCAAGTTTGGAGGCAATGTCCATGCGGCGTCACACCATTGCCTTATATGAAAAGAAACGAGTACATTTTTAGTTGGATTAGAGTGGATCAACAAGTACTTACGAACTGACCCACTCATGTCTCCCTAAGTATAAGAGGTGAAATTAATGGTTGTACGGTTATATAATATGAATATGGACAATGTACCAATGTTGCACCAATGTGTCGATGATCTAGTCTTGTAGTAGGGTTTACTTCAGAGGAAGTTGTGCTTTGTTCATGAAAGAAATCAACAATAACGTGTTTGATACATATATACGGAAATGACAATGCGTGTGAAGTGTATTTGTTACAAACTTTTTACGAATACTGATGTGGCATTCTGCAATTGAATCTAGCTTTTCTATAACTTCCAATTACTGAAATCAAATGGTTTGATATTTCTTCTCTTTGATTCGAAGAAATTTCTCCTCTTAGCGTAATTTCTCTTAATATGGAACATAACTTTTTAATTCATATTTATATATATACACGCGCGAAGAAGGGGGAACATGACAAGTGTAGGAACATTTTTCTCTAGGGGTGTGGATGGACTATAAGTTAACAGAACTACAGAAGTTTGTGGAAGTATTGTTTTGATAGTTTGTTTCGAAGGGATCTAACAGTTCTTCTGTTGATGAAAAGATCTAACGGTACTTAAATAACTAGCTAAATGCCCGTTCTTTGTTACATATGAAAGAAAATGTATTAATGTGTTACCCATCTTTTTGCTATAGAGAATATTCATCTTACTCTTAATTTTTTATGTAGATATCCATTAAGATTTGGCTTTTTTAATATTAAAAAGTTTGAAGCTTAACTTGTAAAATTTATAACGGAAGTACGTGGGATGGCAGATCCATTGCCACCACCACCACCTTTTTCTTAAAGTATAGATCTATTACTGCATCTGACGGTCATAATTTTTTCACTAACGTGGCTCATCCTATTGGCAACAAATATTAGTTTTTTTTACTAATTTAGATATCAAAGAAATATCAGAATTCGATCATATTTCATGAAACTAACATAAGCACTTGATTGCCGTGCAATCCATCATAAATCGTCCGAGATGCATATGTTTGATCGACATGAGAATTTGGTACCATGAGACAAATTGAACCAACTGCTTGGGTAGAATATGTTGATAGTTTACACATAGTACAGTGATCTTAATCAGGTTGCTATCTATAATGACTCATAAGCGCCTTATTTCCTACGTAAAAGAGAAATGCACCCTTCGTCCATATGTGTCACACATGTTTTCAGTAGCACGTACTTCTCCCTGCCTCTGCTATTTATTTCACATGTAAAGCAGGTTACTGCTAGCTGACTTCTGTGCATACTTGAATGCTTGGTTGCAGAAACTTCAAATTGAAGCACATGAACTTTCTGCCACATGCATGCATTGCTATCCTCTTCAATAAATTAGCACATATTAGTTTCCAAAATTACACTAGAAGAAAGAAAAAACCTTCTCAGATTAATTAGAAGATCATATGCATGTCTGAACCTGGGGTAGGACGAACCAAAATTCGATCAACTCCAGATAACCAAATCAGAGGTACTCATATATACAAGGTGTACTTGTGTTCGTTCAAAGAGGTAAGTACGCATACGTTTATGTGCGCTCTTTGCATCTTTATTGTGTTTAAAAAACAAGAAAACAATCAGCAGTACTGAATTACTGAACTAATAGTCGTCGTCAAATGATCACCGTCAAGCTAGAATAACAATCGGGATACATGTTTTGATTAATCGATCATTAGTTTTTACATACTAATCAGACAGTTATTATAGCTGTTTGGTGGAATCTCCCTGTTGATGCGCCCTCAAGGTAGGTCGTCACATGTGAGATGTGATGATATCACAGAGAAAGAGAGAGAGGACGGCAGTTGCAGAGCTTCAAATGCAGTGCAAGTTAATGAAATAATGGAGATGGATCAAACACAGGGACCACGACGACTTCATCGATCATTTAATAATGGAGGTGTGACCATCTGTGCTTGCTTGTTAAACTGTGTTAATAACTGAAGGTATAGTACTGTTTATCATTCAGAGGACGGCCGGGTCTGAATCTGATCGGTGAAAATTTGTCTCCCCCAAAACCATTGACCAACAACGTTGAAAATAAAAGATTCGGTCACATTAGCTCTAGTAAGCGCATATGTAAGTACGTAAATCTATTGACCTCAACTCCTCAAGTTGAATTTTCAATCAATTTGGAAGTTTCCGTAAACGATTCTATCGGAAGTTTTTTTTTAGGGAAGTTTTTATATCCTCCATAAGCAATAAGTATGGATGCTTCTTGTGTGGGCTAAAAATTTGATGTTAAACAATTGAAATTATTCACTGGAAACTTACATGCTTTGATCCAAAGTTGAGTTGTCTCAAATGGCTGAGTGTGGATGAATAGATGAATTACATATAATTATTCAAGGTGCAAACGAATGAATCAACTGCTATAAAGTTCAAAATAAATTTAAAACAGTGTTCTAAGAAATTTATATATATATAAAGTTCTACAAAAATCATACTCGAACCAATTCAGGAAACATGAATATTAATCCTTTAATCCATTCCTTGGAAAAAAAAACAGGGATCCAATTCAGTTTTTTTCTCTAAAATAGTAAAGTGTACTCGATCACTCTATTAAGATATTTTAGTATTTATCGGTAGTCAAAGTTCTTTGACCAATTCATAATAAAAAAATAATTTACATGTATATTCTTAGAACGATACACCATATCAAAGATATTTCATGGTGAAATTTAATAAACCAATTTGGTGATGTAGATACGGTGCTGTTTTCTATAAGCTTCATTGAAGTTAGAGAGTTTTACTTAAGACAAAACTAATTAAAACACCGTACCTTATTAGAAGTGTGCAGTTGAAAATGGTTTTTAACTTTTTAAGTGATGTGTTCTATATTTCTCTTTCTACCATATATATGGTACCATGATCCTCAGTGAGGCTCATTGGTTAACTCACATTAATTTTTCTGGAGAGCGCCTCGATAAGGAGAGACTTCTTATGGGTTTTAAGGGTTTTTAAGAGTTCTCAAGGGTTACTGTAGTTTTTTTTTTGGTAAATTTTGATTTCTCATCATGTTAAAGATACCAAGAGGTATTAACAATGCAAAGAAATTATGATATAGCTAGGATCATAAAACCGCTTGTATTTACGCACGACATTTTCCATCAAATTAATTACTTGTTTCTGTACTACTTTGGGCTAGCTAGATGTGGATGTGGTTGTGCAGCTCCAATTGTATTACAGGTTACGTTCTTGCAAAGTACTACTAAACGTTAACGTTCAGCTAACTCAAATTACTTGCAGATATGCATATGCCCTTTGCTTGGTTAATAACCGATCTTAGGCATACATAGGCACATATAGCTTAGGGCACAGCTTAGCCTAGCTAGCAAATTAAAGAGAACCATATACATCATTAGTCTTTAACTTTAATAAGACGTTGTCAGGAGCATATATGTATGTGTAGCATATGGCAGCTAGCTAGCAGAGAGTCACCCATGATTAAGTCTTTTGCTTTAAGACGGTGTTTAATTTAGACATGATACTTTCATTCTTTGGACGTACAGAGCCTAGCAACTCCGTGCACTCACAACTTGTAGAATAGGCATGATGATTAATTTGACTAATACTTAAACACGACCTTTAAAAAAAGGAATCCACACGATCTGCTCACAATTACTCCCTTCGTCCCAAAATAAATGTAGTTTTACATTTTTCATATCTCACGTTTGACCGTTTGTCTTATTTGTAACTTTTTTACGATTAATATTTTTATTGTTATTAGATGATAAAACATGAATAGTACTTTATATGTGACCAACTTATTTTAATTTTCTCATAAATTTTTCAAATAAGACGAATGGTCAAACGTTGGACACGGATTCCCGTGGCTGCACTTATTTTGAGACGGAGGTAGTACTCAATTAGAAAGGGTTTGTTACCCCTAAGGTTGTAAAAATGCTCAAAGCTCGTGAGCTTATCGAGCTCAACTCGTACTAGGTTGGGTTCGAGTTCGGCTCGAGATTTAGATGAGCTGAGCTGAACTCCAGCTTCTAACGTAATAATATATTTTTTATTATTTATTTAATAAAGTAGTGTAGATAAATATATCATTAGTATGTATTCACACAATAAAGTATAGTTTATATTACAATCATATATTTATCTCATCATTTTTCTTCTCTTTCATGAATATAATTAACTAAAAAGTAACTTTTCCAAGAAATTTATTATCATTGAAATAAACGATATACAACTTAATTATAAGCCAAGCTTGGTAGTCAAACTGGAGCTTGATAGAGCTTGAACCGAGCATATATAGAAGCTCGACGGTTACACAGGCTTGGCTCATGCTCAAGCTTAACTCACTAACAGCCCTAGTTACAACCATGTTTGGATTCAAGAATGGCAATCCACCTGGTGCTCCGGTAATTCCTTTTTATAATAGAAATAATATTATGATCAAAGTGACATGTACTCCATCTGTCCTAAAATAGTTATCTCTTTATAGTTTAAAATTTATTCCACAATAATTGTCACTTAAATTACTACTTGTCCCATCAACCACACCTATTCAAATTTTATTTCAGTTCATTCTATCTTCGTCATCCTCCTACTTTCATTCAAACTAGGAATCGCGCGTATGCGCGGGCACTTATATTATTGAAAGGTAAGATTATTGTTTGTTCAGAAATTTTGTCTGATAGATTCAGGGCAAACTTTAGTAACTAAAGTTTGGATAATGTTATTTTATACTCCCTCCATCCCCTAATATAAGGGATTTTGATATTTTGCTTACATTGTTTGACCACTCGTCTTATTAAAAAAAATTGTTCAAATTTAAAAAACGAAAAGTTGTGCTTAAAGTATTTTGGATAATAAAGTAAGTCACAAATAAAATAAATAATAATTGTAAATTTTTTTGAATAAGACGAATAGTCAAACAGTGCCAGCAAAATATCAAAATCCCTTGTATTAGAGGACGGAGGGAGTAATAATTTAAGGGTTCTATTTTTCTTATTTTTCTTAAGGTATCTTTAAAAACCATTCACAACTTTTGAGTAGGAGATGGATTAAGTACTTACGACTTTTGAATCATGTTTTTTTTCTCGAGTAAATAAGAAACTATTGCTAGTTAATTATCATACAGTCCATCTATATACATATCGTGTAGTATGGCCGCAAATGAAAAATGTGAGTGCAAGATACTCAAAATTCTTTTGATTAAATCGTCTCATGAAGGCACATGACATAGTAATAAAGGGAGGGAAGCGTATGCATGGGAAAAAAAGAAGAAAGAGAAAAATGAAAAAAAAAGGGAGGAGAAGCGTGCGTACCCGCGCACGTAGGTGCGTACCTATGCTGAGGTGGGACCTCGTAGTATTTAGTTTATTCTAAGATCAATTTAATCTAACGGTTTATAATATTGGACCTACCGATTTAAGAGAAAATGAAGTAATAGATACTTTAATTTTTTTCCTTAGAATTTCTAACATTTGCCCTAATTTATTAGAGCACCACGTGGCAGCTTGAGAGCATTTTAAGGAATTTTAAATGACTTAACACATGTAATTAGAATATTAACTGCGCAATATATATGTATGGGATATATGGTAATATTTGTTCCAGTTTCGTCCATGTTTATATACACGTAGAGAGAAATTAATTTTATGGCTAGCAATTAATTTTTGACACCTTTAGATGTCTAATTAATAGCAATTAATTTTGACACCTATTTACAATTGTTCAGGGTAACTCTTACATATTCATCTTACGACTTTGATGATCCATTGATTATAACTTTACTGATCACCATGACTCGCATGAAAAAAATATGTAGTACTTAAGGTTTAGGATGAAATTGATGAATTATATAATTTATGTGATAGCTATTTGAGGGTATAAACGAATGAATTGACTTCTAAAAAATTAAAATGTTGTTTAAAGAAGACACCATTTAGAAACTTGGAAAGCATGCAAACAAAAATCCAAATATGGAATTGGGAAAAAAAGTGAGGGCCTTAAACTCCCTTTATCACCCTTGTCGTAGTAAGAGTTCTATTAATATTCATCAATATTGCGCTCACATTTATAACATAATGATTCCTTTCACCTGTACGTACAAATAGTACCAAATGCAAATACGACATAACACAAATACATTATAATTATAATTATTATGTAATCAACTCTCGGTTTCAACTTAAACAGAGCTAATTAGTGTTGAGAAAAACACAACCCATGGTGCTTAATTATTCTCTCGCTGCATCACACCTTTAATTTTCTTTTCATGTTATTAACAAAATTAATCATCTCCATATATGATTTGATATGTGGCAAAGCGGTAGCGCTACAGCGGTTGTAATCACCTTAGATGTCTCAGACACTACGCTTTGTTACACGTGCGAAAGGCAAAGGTGCAGACATGCATTGTGAAGCGGGCAAAAAGAGAATTTCGGACGCTTTATTTATTAGCAAACAATTGATCCGATGATTATAATAATAGGTCCACCAGTTATAGTGTAAGTGTAAATTAGTTCATATATATTTTAAATTGTTAATTTAATGGGTACACAATATAATGGTTTAGACCTTATTTTGAAACAGTGCATTACTTGAGAATAATAGGCCAATGTAATAAAAAATAGATCCGATGATTTATATAATGGGGCCATGCGTTTAAGTGCACGTATAAATTAGTTAATATAGATATTGTTTATTTGATAGGTACACGATATAATTGTGTAAATTTTATTTTAAAATAGTGCATTATTTGAAAATAATAGTGCAAAGTAAAGAGTACACCGGTTTAAGTTATATGATGGTAGATTCTTTGTTCGTAAAATTATGATTATTTAAAAAATATATCCATTATATATATAAATGGTAAAAAGAAGACAAAAGAAAAAAAAAAGAAGGAAGCGTATGTTATATACTCCACCTGCCAATGCGCAGGAGGAGGATAGGTGGGGCCCATGGTATTTAGTTTGTTTTAAGATTGATTTTATCTAACGATGTATAATATTGGACCAACCAATTTAAGTGAAAATCAAGGGATAGATGTTTTGCTTTTTTCTTAGAATTTCTAGGATTTTCTCTATTTTATTAGAGCGCCACGTGGTGACTTGAGAGCGTTTGTAGAAAGTTTCATGAACTTTTAGTATATAATAGATAAGAAGTATTATATATAGTCTTTACTTTCCAAAGCTTAATTTGTGTTAAACAACTTACAAAAATAAAGATCAAGAAACGAAGAGAGTACATGAGATAGTAGTTGACCTCATGTATTTTAGACCGGATGGAGTAACGTACCCGATGCCACCCTTGCCATCAGGGGTGGATCCAGAAACAAAAAGTTGGGGGACTCAACATACCGAGTACACCGATATGAACACATAATCTCAGTATTAAACTATGCTAAAATGCTATTATGAGACCTTTAGCACCTCCTATCTTATCAACTATGATGAAAAAGTTGAAGGGGGGCTTAGGGGGTATCCATAGATTTTGTGGGTGTAGGGGGGACTCTGCACCTACGTTGGATCCGCCCCTGCTTGCCATTGGCATGTTACGAGACTGAGTATGTATATTATCTATAGAAAAACATGGGGTTTGTGAAGATATTCCTGAAAATCTAGGTTTTGATATTGAAAACATAAGCAAAGCCTGATGTTTTCTGTTACATATGTTGCAAAAACATAGGCAAGATGTGCATTTGTACAAAATCACTGGTATTCATGGTTACATGTGTTGATGATATTTCGTCTGTTGATGATATTTCGTCTGCCACTCTGATATGTTTTTCCAGCCGAAGACATACAAAATTAGGACAATAAAAACACAGCCCAACTTATATCATTTCACAGCCCAACTTAATAAGAAAGCCCATGTCATAAGCGGCCCAATCTCCTCAGATGGGCTTGTCGCCATTTCATCCTCTGTCTGCTCCTTTGCCTAATTAATCCCTAACTTCTACTAGCCCATCCTCATCTATGGTAAAAACAAATTAAGGTTATTAAATACTCCCATGTTTCATATTATAAATCAGTTTTAATTTTTTTCCTAGTCAAACATCTTCAAATTTAACCAAATTTATAGAAAAACTAGCAACATCTACGACACCAAATTAGTTTCATTAGGTTAGTATTGAATATATTTTGATAATACGATTTATTTTATATTGGAAACTATTACTATATTTTCTATGGGCCTGTTCACTTTGATGCCATTTTCAACCTTACCAAATTTTGGTAATGTTTTCAAAAAAGTGTCTACATTTAGTTTGCTACTAAATTTTGGTAACTATATAAGAAATCATACTAAAATTTTGGCATAGTTGCCAAAATTTTGGCAACTTGCTAAAATTTTGGCAATGCCAAATTTTGGTAAGGTTTTTTTTGGCGTCAAAGTGAACAGTCCCTATATAAATTTGGTCAAACCTAAAAATGTTTGACTGAAAAAAAAATCAAAGTTACTTATAATATAAAACGGAGGGGGTATTATAGCTTGGGACCTGCTATACAACGGAATCCCGTTTTTCGAACGGGATGATACCGGTTAGGTATTAGGTATCATGCGTTTCTACCACGTATCAGGTGATACTTGCAAGGTATCAGATGATATCTATCAGGTACCATGCGATTCTTATCACGTAGAGGGTGATACTTGCGAGGTATCAGGTTCTGATACCTAACCGGTATCGGGTGATACCTATCAGGTATCATGCGATTCTACCACGTATCAGGTGATACTTGTGAGGTATCAGATGATACCTATTAGATATCATGCGATTCTTACCACGTAGAGGGTGATACTTGCGAGGTATCAGACGATACCTACTAGATATCATGAGCCGGGCACCAAAGCGTCGTCGCCGGTGGTCCCATCATCCACGTCCCACGTCGGAGCTCGTCGCCGGCGGCCACATCCTCCACCGTCCGCGCCACGTCGGAGCTCGTCGCTGGCGGCCGCGTCCTCCGTCATCCACGCCCCACACTGGAGCTAGTCGCCGGTGGCCGCGTCCTTCGTCATCCACGTCCCACGCCGGAGCTCGTCGCCGATAGCCACATCCTCCACCGTCCACGCCACGTCGGAGCTTGTCACTGGTGGCTGCATCCTCCGCCACCTCGACGAGCTAGCCAAGTATGTGCTCATCGTGCTCCGCGCCGACGACGGCGGCGAGGTCGGCACCTTCGCACTCTACTTCCTCATCTGCACAGCGTCCGCGCTGGGCTCCTCCTCCCCTACGCCAGCGCCGGCACCGCCGGCGAGGAGCTCACGGTCACGGGGCAGTGCGTCGATGGTGCGGGTGTGGGCACCGCAGCCGGTGCCGCCGACGAGGAGCTCGAGGTCGCAGGGCAGTGCGTCGACGGTGCGGGCATGGGTGTTGCAGCGCCGCCGCCTATGTCGGCCATGCGTGCGCACTGGAGCGGCACCGTGTCCTGCAGAGGCTGCTGCTGCTCGGAACGTACATGGTCAGGTACGGCTCCTCTTTGAATATTCAAGGGGACAAAAGGGATCCCGTCCGGACGGGATTATGGTACGTGGCATTTCCATATTGCTTAACCCGAATTTCAACCCATGTATGGTCCATTATATACGTATATATAGTTTTATACGTGTATTCCGTACGTATATGCTGATGATCTATAGTTCTATACCAAGTTACTCAGTATGAACCGCAAATTATACGGCACGCACTTCTTCCACCACCACCAATGGCGCGTCGATCACCTTGCTCCTCTCCACCACCTTCCCCTTGCCGCCGCCGGCCATCTCCGTCTCCCGCGACGCCATCCCGGCGACGACGTCCCCGCCGTCCGACAAGTACTCCTTCTTGTACTCGTACCTCGTCGCCACCCACACGAACACCGCCAGGTTGATCACCGCGAGCAGCAGCAGGAAGGCGTAGTAGTAGTCGAGGTGCGAGTCGTTGAGGTTGTCGCCGATCCAGCTCTTGCCGGCGCCGCCGCCCCTGGTGGCGCGGTCGACGGCGGTGACGAGCAGGCTGTTGAGGAAGTTTCCGACGCCGAGGCCGCTGGTGAAGAAGGTGGTGCCGAGGCTCTGCATCCCCTGCGGCGACTGCTCGTAGAAGAACTCGAGGATGCCGACGGAGCTGAACACGTCGCCGACGCCGATGAGGATGTACTGCGGCAGCATCCAGAAGATGCTCATCGGGACGGTGTCGTGGGCGGCCGTGGCGGAGGCGGCGCGGATCGCGCGCATGCGGCGGAGCTCCACGAGGCAGGCGCACGCCACCGCCGCCACCTGGAGCGCCGACCCGACGCCGAGGCGCTGCAGGAGCGTGATGCCGCGGGGTTCGCCGGTGCGGCGGCGGGCGAGGGGGACGAGCACGCGGTCGTAGACCGGGATGGAGAGGAGCATGGAGATGGTGATGAAGCTGCCGAGGGAGGCCGCCGGGATGCGGACGCCGCCGACGGTGCGGTCCAGGGTGGTGCCCTGCTTCACGAACAGCGTGTTCACCTGCGCCCAGATGGTGCACGGCACCAGCGTCGTCAGCCACACCACGATCATCCCCGTGATCAGCTTCACCTCCTCCACCTCCGTCACCGTGCACGCCTCCGCCTCCGCCGCCGCCGCCGGCAGCGCCGCCTTGTCCAAGAACCTGTAGCCCCGCGTGTGGTGCAGCCGCCGCTTCGTCCCGGCGGCGGCGTACCACGCCGCGTCGTGCTCGTGCAGCTGATCACCGTGCAGCTGCCGTCTCCGGTTCGCGAACGCCGCCCTGAACACCCTCCCGACGAGCCTCGCGGGGCCGGCGGCGGCGCCCCGGCGGACAGGCTTGTGGCGGTAGAACGGCGTGCCGACGTAGAAGAGCAGCAGCGACAGGGCGAGGCCGGCGGTGGGGATGGCGTAGCCGACGCCCCAGCCGACGTTCTCCTGGACGTAGACGAGGACGAGCACGGCGACGAGGCCGCCGGTGAAGGAGCTGAACATCCACCAGTTGAAGAAGGAGGCCTTGGTGCGGCTCTCCCGGGCGTCGAAGTCGTCGAACTGGTCGGCGCCGAACGTGGAGATGTTGGGCTTGGTGCCGCCGGCGCCGATGGCCATGGTGTACAGCGCCGCGTAGAAGAAGGCCACCTGCGACCGCGTCGCCGGCGCGCAGGCGCCGTCCGGCGTGCACTGCGGGTGCAGCGCCTTGAGGGAGACGGACAACGTTGTCAGAATCATTCCCTGCATTTTAACGGGCTGTTTAGATGAGGAGAAGGAAATTTTTAGGTGTCACATGAGACGTTTGATCGGATGTCGGAAGGGATTTTCAGATACGGATAAGAAAACTAATTTTATAACTCGCCTGAAAACCACGAGATAAATTTTCTGAGCCTAATTAATCCGTCATTAGCATACGTGGGTTACTATAGCACTTATGACTAATCATAGACTAATTAGACTCAAAAGATTCGTCTCGCGATTTCCTCCTTAACTGTGTAATTAGTTTTTGTTTTTATCTATATTTAATGCTCTATGTAGGTGTCCAAAGATTCGATGTGATGTTTTTGGGAAAAAAATTTGTGAACTAGACGGGGCTATATTGCAGTTACACTAGTGAAAGATGGTTCTGACTTCGATATGTATATGCCGAAATTACACTGGTGGAGAAACCATCTTTCGTCGGTCGGCCGATTTCCACAATAGTCCCGGATGCAATAAAAACCAGGGCTAAAGATGATCTTTAGCCCCGGTTCAAAAGGGTAACGGGCATATTTGATCTTTAGTCCCAGTTTGTGTTACCAACCGGGACTAAAGATCATCTTTAGTCCCGGTTCGAATGGTGTCAGGTCATGTCAGGCCCCCCGGGATCTTTAGTCCCGGTTGGGACTAAAGTCGTAACTTTAGTCCCGGTTGGTAAAGATCCCGGTGATCTTTAGCCCCGGTTGGTGCTACCAACCGGGACTAAAGTCCCACCCCTATATATATATGTCTTCTTCCTCCTCCAGCTGCCCGAGCAAGCTTCAAAATTTCTTCAAAAAAGAGGGGAGGTCATGCCAAAATTTCTATTGAATTTATTTTGGTGATTACATACAAATCGGAGGTGCCTAAAAGGTTTGCAACTTCATCCTCCAATGTTTTTTTTTGTCATACTACATTTGCACCTATGTTTTGCACACTTTTTTTGTCTCCAAAATTTAGTTGTAAGTTGATGAGAGAGAAAATGTGTGTGGGGAAGAAAGAATATATAGAAATTTAGTTCATTTGCTAAACAAGGTTTTATAAAATAGTTGAGAAGGAAAACTCTAGTGAAAGTTAATCTTAAATAATAGAAAACAAACTAAAATGAAAATTAAAAGAAGTAAAACACATTAAAATTAGTTTAAAACTTTACAAATAGTTTTTAAGAATTATTTGGTGTAATATTTTATGATTTTTGTATGAATAAAGATATCTTATAATTATTGTATGACTGTCATTATTGTAAGAATAATTATTTGTGTACGGTTTTTTTGACTCATGTAGATGGATCGGCAATGGATGTACGCTGACTGGCGGTCCAAAGAGTTTATTGACGGCGTGCACTATTTTTTGAGAGTGGCCGAAGCTAACAGGCAAAGGGGTTTTATTTGTTGTCCATGCAATAAGTGTAAGAATCAGAAGGAGTATTCTGCATCCAGGACTATTCATTTCCACTTGTTTGAGTCGGGGTTCATGCCAAGCTATAATTGTTGGATATCCCACGGAGAGCAAGGTGTTGAAATGGAAGAAAATGAAGTGGAAGACGACAATATTCCGGACTTTGCTCAGTATGTTGGATTTGAAGGAAATCAAACGGGCGAGGAGGAAATAGCTGCTGATGGTAACGACGTTGCGGATGATCTTGGTCAGATGTTGCAGGACGCCAGGGAGGACTGCGAAAGTGAAAAGGAGGCCCATAAATTGGACAAGATGTTGGAGGACCACAGAACTTCGTTGTACCCAGGTTGCGAGCAGGGGCACAAAAAGTTGGATACCACTCTGGAGTTCTTGCAATGGAAGGCAAAAAATGGGGTTAGTGACAAGGCATTTGGCGATTTATTGAAACTCGTCAAGAACATTCTTCCGGGGGGAAACAAATTGCCCGAGACAACGTACGAGGCTAAGAAGATAGTCTGCCCGTTAGGACTGGAAGTTCATAAGATTCACGCATGTCCGAACGATTGTATCCTATATCGCGGTGAGGAGTATGAGAACCTAGAAGCATGTCCTGTTTGCAAAGCACTACGATACAAGATTAGACGGGACGATCCAGGAGAAGTTGACGGGCAGCTAACAAAGAAGAGAATTCCTGCTAAGGTGATGTGGTATTTCCCTATAATACCACGGCTAAGGCGTTTGTTCAGGAACAAGGGGAATGCTAGAATGTTGCGATGGCACGCTGAAGAGCGTCAACAGGACGGGATGCTGAGACACCCCGCCGATGGTTCGCAGTGGCGAAACATCGACAGAAAATTTAAAGAATTTGGAAAGGACGCACGAAACATACGGTTTGGTTTGAGTACGGATGGCATGAATCCTTTTGGAGAGATGAGCAGCGGCCATAGCACTTGGCCCGTTACGATGTGTATCTACAACCTCCCCCCCTGGCTATGCATGAAGAGGAAGTACATAATGATGCCGATTATTATTCAAGGCCCCAAGCAACCTGGTAACGACATCGACGTGTACCTAAGACCACTGGTCGAAGATCTTAAACAGTTGTGGAAGAAGGAAGGTGTCCCCGTGTGGGACGAGGACAAACAGGAGGAGTTTAACCTACGAGCGCTGCTGTTCGTAACCATCAACGATTGGCCTACACTTAGCAACCTATCCGGACAGTCCAACAAGGGGTACAAGGCTTGCACTCACTGTATGGATGAAACAGAAAGTACGTATCTTAAGCACTGTAGGAAGGTTGTATACATGGGTCATCGTCGATTCCTTGCAGCAAACCACCCGGTACGGAAGAAAGGCAAGCACTTCGAACATAAGGCCGACCACCGTACGAAGCCTAAACATCGCAGCGGGAAAACAGTGTTTGCTATGGTTAAAGATCTTAAAGTAGTGTTCGGAAAGGGGCCTGGAAGCTAGCATATAGAGAGCGAAGATGGTCACGCGGCGATGTGGAAAAAGAACTCTATATTTTGGGAGTTACCATATTGGGAATTCTTGGACGTACGCCACGCAATCGACGTGATGCACCTCACTAAGAACCTTTGCGTAAACCTTCTTGGCTTCGTAGGTGTATACGGAAAGTCGAAAGATACACTGGAAGCACGTAATGATCTGAAGCATATGGAACAACGCGGCGACCTTCACCCGGAACCAAAGGAGAAATGAAGCCATTACTTGAGTCCAGCCAGCTACACTCTTAGCAAGGCAGAGAAGGAAAGTATGTTTGAATGCTTGGAGAGCATAAAGGTACCGTCTGGATACTCCACGAATATCAAGCGAATAATAAGCACGAAGGAGAAGAAGTTCACAAACCTAAAGTCTCATGACTGTCACGTGTTGATGACACAACTGCTACCAGTTGTAATAAGGGGTATCCTTCCAGACAATGTCCGGGCAACAATAACAAAGCTATGTGCATTCATGAACGCAATTTCGCAGAAGGTCATCGATCCGGATAGATTAGAAGCCCTTCAGAATGAAGTGGTGCAATGTCTCGTCAGTTTTGAGTTGATATTTCCACCTTCATTTTTCAATATAATGACGCATCTGCTTTGTCACCTTGTGAAAGAGATCCGAATTCTCGGGCCTATGTACCTACACAACATGTTTCCTTTCGAGAGGTACATGGGCGTTCTGAAGAAGTATGTTCGTAACCGTGCTCGTCCAGAGGCAAGCATCGCCAAGGGTTATGGAACAGAGGAGGTCATCGAATTTTGCGTAGAATTTATCGAAGACCTTCGCCCAATCGGGGTACCTGAATCACGCCATGAAGGGAGGCTACGGGGAAAGGGAACTCTCGGAAGGAAAGCAATAATGACGGTAGACAACAATTTATTCCGTAAAGCCCATTTCACTGTTCTGCAACACTCTTCATTGGTAGCTCCTTACATCGAGGAGCACTTGGCTCTAGTTCGCGCCAGGAACATCGGTAAGTCCGATGCATGGATTACACGACATCACATTGATACTTTCCCCGCGTGGCTACGACAACATCTCATGGGTAACGAGTTGATCAACCAACAACTTGCCTTCCTGGCGAGGGGACCGTCTGGGTCGATCGCGACATTCCAGGGATATGAGATCAATGGGTACACATTCTACACGAGAGCCCAAGACATGAAGAGCACGAACCAAAACAGCGCTGTTCGTGTCGATGCCATGGGACACGATGGAACAACTGCCACGTATTACGGTGCCATCGAGGACATATGGGAACTTGACTATGGTCCTCTCAAGGTTCCTCTGTTCCGGTGCCAATGGGTTAGGTTGACTGGTGGAGGCGTAATGATTGATGACAGTGGGATGACAACTGTTGACCTTAACAAGGTTGGATACTCGGACGAACCTTTTGTCCTTGCCAATGATGTAACGCAAGTCTTTTTCGTGAAGGACATGTCTAGCAAAGGAAAGAAGGGCAGAGGGCCTGATGAGCCTAAGCGTCAAGTGGTTCTCCCAGGCAAAAGAAAAATCGTCGGAGTTGAGGACAAGACTGACGAGGATTACGATCAGTTGGATGGGCAACCCCCTTTCACGGTGACGATTGACCCTAGCATCCTCCTATCAAATGAAGACACCCCTTACTCACGCAGCGATCACAAGGAGGGAACAATAGTGAGGAGAAAGTACGTGCGGTCAACCGTCACCGCCGATGTAATACCGTAATTATTGTGTACACGATGTAAACTATTTTGGATGTATTGATTATCCATATAAATCAATTGATGTATGGCATATGTTAATTACGCACGATTATTAGAGGTTTCAACAAGTTTAAATCATGTATATGCTAGTTATATGTGATACTTACAATTTTTAAAAGTTTTAAATCACACAGGTGACAATTTCATATGTATGTTAATTAGAGTTTTTAACATTTAATTTACTAGCATTCATATGCTAATTTTTAAAAGTATTAAATTTAATATATTTTTAAAACTATCATTCATATATTAGAGTTTTTCACAATTTAATTTACTATCTTTCATATGCTACTTATATATGACTATTCGAATTTTTAAAAGGTTTAAATCATGCATGTGGCATTTACA